CATAAACTTAAAATATCGAAAAATATACAGCGCGCGAATTTTAAATGAGAACCTCCGAAAACCTTTCGGTCACAATGTACGTATATGTACATATATATTTATTAAAACTGGAATAAAGTAGTTCAGTGTATAAAATTATTAAAATAAATGTTCGGCAAACAACTATTTCCGCACAAACACATAACATATGTGATGTAATTGTAATAAAAAAAACTGCATAAATTTAGTAAAACAAATGAGTTTTATTCAACCTAGTTTGATTTGAAACAAGTTGAATAATTTTCAAATACTGAGGTAATGCCCGGCTGCACGCAACGCCAATTGGCCTGTAAATTACTTATTTTAACTGCAAATATTGTCAAGCGGCTAACGTTATTTCAGCTCCGAACTAACAGTAATCGCCCGATAAAGTCTTTCACATTTAACTTTTTTAAATGCTTTGGTGACTGGCGGACATTTTCTTAACTTCTTTTTTTTGTTGTACTTGGAATATGTTTGTAAAAATGCACAACCCAGTAATTATTCACAAAAGCATTTGTCTATGCCACGAATGTTTTGGCCGTTGACTGAGGCACATAGCCTTAATTATTGTGCAATTATTTCCAGTATTTTGCACGTATTTGCAGAAAATTACTTTACTCTTAGATTTTGATAGTTACTGGTACCAACTAAAATATTTCCCCAACGAAACTACGTGACTTTATAGAAGTATACAAAAATATTACACCATGAATTTTGGAAAGTATATAAATATAACGCTTCCTAGTGCTAAAAAGTGAAGCATAATGTAAATTTACCAAAAATTATTTGGTAAATAATTTTTATAAAATTTAGTTAGTGAAAGTGGGTGGCCCAATATAAACAGCAAAGAATTTGTTTAAACATGTATTATATAGTAAGGCTTAGATAATAAGAATAATAAGAAAGAAATCTATATTGAAATGACCGACATCATTGTAATAACATACCAGTATATCACTTTAGGATTAATAACTTATACACCAAGAAATTATAGAGCATAGCTAGATGGACGAGAATACACGTTGACATGATATGGTCTAGCGATATCAGATAAGAACCCTTAATTAATAACAGTACATTTTAGTTTAAAATGTATACTGAATACTAAAGAATTGGTGAATATTAAAATATAGTTCACTCCAAAATCACGAACGTAGTTCAGCCCCTCAAAATAATAGCTTTAAAAAATTTTAAGGTTTCATTGAAGCCCAGTTGATTGCACTTCTCTTGAGAGTTTAACTAAGTGCATTAAATAAAAAAATATGAACAGGGTTTGGTTATTAAGTGGCTTATAAGAATATATAGATGGGTGGGTTTAACGAAGAACGCGCTGTATAGAATTTGTTTTTGATAAATATATCACAATATAGTAAAAGATGTGGTATAAAATAAATAGAACTTTTACGACATGTAAACAATATATGCTGAGTGAGGTTGGCACGTGACTATTTTCCGATATGTTTTAAATAATATGAGTAGTTAGTATTACATATATAACATTTTATACATATAAAATATATGTGATAATAATAGTGCATAGTATGCACTACATACAACGTTTGTTCCAAAGTACACAAAACTTTCAGATCGTAAATATTTGTTGTGAGTAAAGTTAGCTTCATCGCGTTTGCAAAAAAATATATTTACATGATATGAAAATGTTTTATAGACGCACAAGATATCCGATATTGTTAGAGACATATAAACTTCACGTGACAGTCCTCCAGTTAAGAATATATTTTATCAACGTTTGTATACATCAGTAAATATTACAACTACAAATATAATATATACTCGTAAATATTTCTGTTTACTTTAAACTTAGGGATTTTATTCTTTTTTTGGTTCTTCAGAAGAGTTCTGGGCCAAAGAATGCTGCTGCTGCTTTCTTTGCTAGCACATATATATATATATATATTATTAGTAACTTTCTAATTTATTGGTAAATAGTGTTCTGAAATACAAAAAAAAGTGTTATAAAAGAAGAAAGGTGTCCACAAGAATCTGAGTGCACTTCCACCTTATTCTTACTGTAGTATTGTGGAATATGTTCATTTTAGAGATATGCTATATGAACAGATCCACAGATTTTTATATCTTTCGATCGGTCACCAAACAAAACATTATAGTTTCAATAAAAACGCTTAGTTTCAGTATTTTTTTACAAAAATATGACACTGAAATGTTTCGCAAACCAGCAATACAAACCAATCGTACATTCCATTAGCAAAGCTTAAATGAATACGGCAATTGCTTTGACTGTATTTAAACGTAGTAAGAATATATTCAGATATTCATATAGCATTTATTTTGGAACTCTGAATATGTTATGTGTTTGTAACTTTTTAATGTATGATATTAACAATTTAATTAAAAACAAACCTGCTCTATTACTATAAGTATTTATACCCACATATTGATATTAGCAAATCAAGCCATAGCTAACAGACCATTGTTTGACCTTCAATATCTGAGGAAAATCAAAATATCAAGAAATTTGTGCTCCAAATTTGTCAAGTGAATTTATTTTTATTTAGTAAAATAATTTGCACATATAATTTTCTCGTATTATATATATAACATTCTTAAATTGGAGTAAAGAGCCGATCACAACTATTTTTTGGCATAAAATGTGTCGTTACACCATCAATAATAAGATACCTTACTAATATTGAAAAACCGCATCAAAAGCGATATTCTAAAGACATAATCTCTCGAGGTTTAAAAATCTCCCGTTGAAAGACCAATAGAAATATAACTGGTGATTAGATATGGGTTGAACAACAAAGAGAACACAGAGACAAAGAGAACACAAAGACAAAGAGAACACAGAGAGAAAGAGAACACAGAGACAAAGGGAACACCGCAGAAAACTGAATAGTGTGATTACAAGAATGTGTGATATATGTTAAACATAGTGGATATCAGATAACGCTGAAATTTTCTATCAAAGGAGTACAGTTTTACCAACATACTGAAAAAATTATAATGGTATTTCTTGTGAGAGTTTTTCAAATCGAAAATTCGTGACATATTTTTCACAGTACATGTCATATAAACACATATATGAGTATATGTATTGGGTGTTGGGTATCATTATTGCTATAATGACTATTTTTAATTAATATATTAAAGTAGTCAGTTTAATTAAACTGGACTTGTATTTTTGTAATATAGATGTAAAATGTACGCACACAACTATATAGGCAAAGTTAATTTATCTACTTTAAATTAGTATTTTTCAATCAATTAAAAATGCTGTCTATTTTACAAAATTTGTGATCATACACCACAACTTATAGTCACTTGCTGAAGGAAGGTAAAAAATTAACACAAATCATTTTAAAAACTTAAATCTTTATTAATTTTAAATTAAATGTATTTTTAAGACTAAAAGTGCAACTTATAATCTAAATAACATTCGTCAAGTGTGCTAAACTATCGCTTCATTTATAGACTAGTGCATTAACATCAATTTTGTTTCACTAAATACCTTAATAGATAACTTTCAGAAATATGTATAAATATATACATAAGTACTTACATATTAAACTTAGTTTGATTTAACAATTGAATGTAAAACTATATTCTTACATTGTGACCGAAAGGTTTCCGGAAATTTTAAATAAAACGCAAAATTCTTAATCTTCATCAATATTTATTTTATTCTCCTTCAAAATATGCTCCATTAGAAGCGATACACAAATGCCAACGTTTCTTCCAATCATCAAAACATTTTTATAGGCGCTTTCCGGTATGGCTTTGAGTTCCCTCTGCGAATTCTGTTTTACGTCTTCTATGGATTCAAAACGCGTTCCTCTGAGTGGTAATTTGAGGTTGGGAAACAGGAAAAAGTCACACGGTGCAAGATCAGGTGAATACGGTGGCTGTTCGATGGTATTTATTGAATGTTTGGCCTTAAAATCGTTGATAATGTTGGAACAAATTGAGGTGAATCGGAACAAGCCGAGCGTTGACACGTCGCATACACAAATTTTCCACCAAAATCAAACGAGCCATCTCACGACCGATGCCTAGCTCTCGTGCTATCTCTCTAACACTCACATGAGGATTTTGGAACACGATTTCCTTTGCCTTTTCAATGTTTTCGTCGGGGGTAGAGGTCGAAGGTCGTCCAGAACGCGGCATGTCTTCGACGGTCGTACGACCGTCCTGAAAGGCTTTGTACCACTCATAAACTTGAGTTTTCGATAAAACTGATTCCCCATAAGCCTTTTGTAGCATTCGCAAAGATTCTGCACACGAAATTTCGTTCGAAACACAAAATTTGATGCAAACTCTTTGTTCAATATTTTTTTCCATTGTTTTTTTCGCAACGCACTACTGAGGTGAACTGGTTTAAACAGCTGCCGTAAACGAACTGTCTGACAGATCGCGCTCATTTTTGGCATAGTAATTGTCCTTAATTGCTGCCAAACTACATAAATAAAATATCGAAAAATATACAGCGCGCGAATTTTAAATGAGAATTTCCGAAAGCTTTTCGGTCACAATGTATATATACTATACAAATAATTTTTCTCAATAATAACATAAAATAATAATATGTAATAACTACAATGTGTATACCATATCAAATCAGCTGTTATCTAGAGATAACAAGAATGATTGAAAAAGTATAACACTTATCGGTTAACTTAATTTGGTTGTTTTTAGCTTAACATATGTGAAACATAAAAAATGTTACAAGTTTAAGTCCTCAGTGCAAGCAGGGGTTAACTTAAATTAAAGTAATTATCTTTACGTCATTATAATGGCAGATATATACACATATTTTGATGTTGTGTAACCTAACTGTCAAAATAAAGATTAACTTACCTAAAACTCAAAATCATAACTGAACAACGGTTTCCCTTCTTATAAGTTAAGCCCTTTTAATTACTAAACAACTAAATTAACCTCTTTTGCACTAATAATCTATATGATGTATTAAAATATAAGTTAATAATAAAACAATATTTTAATAAACCATTTGTTTTTATGTTCAATTAAAAAATATATCTATAAATTAAATTATTTTCACTTAATAAACTAACATACTTTCTATACTATTTTAAGTATTACTAAGATTTATACGGAATGAATTCCATCACACTTTATTATCACGTACTCTTAAAACTATATTTTAACTTTATAGGAGAGTTGCATTAATTTCTTTGAGCTAATTGGACAGTTTGGCCATAAATTAGCGCAACCCATTGGACCGCTCAGGTTATCGCCCGTATAACGTAGTAGTTCACCCATGTGTGCAGCAAAATGCCATTTGCTAGGAGCTCCATTCATAGTCAGTGACATTGTTGAAGATCTATAAATAGAAAAAAATATATGTAGCATAAGTAAAGGAAAAATTAAGGTTTTTATTTAGATGCCTTAAAATTGATTTCTATTAATATGTACTATTAACTATTAAATTAAACTAAACTATTCTAAACTGAACTAGGCACTTCTATAATTAAACGCATTTAATAAATTATGGAACTGATATAAAAAAGAATAGTGTTTTCCATTTCGATGCTCTGAGTAGGCAGCACTGTTTTGATGACGCATATTAAACAGAACTGTCATTTGGGACAAGTTTGCCATTTTACAATATCAATCCTTTAGCAACCTCTGAATGTGTTCAACTTATAAAAACTTATTGCAAAAATGGTAACGGTTCACTACATTAAATTTTTTTTAGTGGTGGATCTATCAAAAACAAAACTATTGTTTTTGATGCAGTGAAATGCTTTAAATAATTAACGAAAGGCCATTATATCTATAAACAGTCAGAACAGTCAAATATTTAGTATGGTTAATTTAAAAATTAGTACTTTGGAGTTCAAACTCTAAATAAAAAAAGAATTAGTGCAAAATATAAATTAAAAATGGGACGGACTCTTTTTTGTAAGTTGGATAGAGTTAAAAGATAATTCTTCTTAAAACTTATTTTAAACACATAAGCGAATTTTCAACTAAATAAGTGGAAGATATTGTATGTTCTTCATAAAGAACAAATTGTTCAAAATTGATATATTAAAGTAGTTAACAACAGTTGATTATAGTTCATAGCTACATATATAGTTTTGCTGGCGAAAAATATAAAAATGCTTCATCGAAACTGTATAAAGCCTCATTGCAGCACTAAAACTTTTCTCGAATAAAAATACTGGAAAAAGCACTAGCATAAATTTCTATTTGGCATTTTAATTAAAAATGGTAAACATTTGTTGCTTTAGCATTCGTCAACATATATGATAATAGAGTCTTAAGTGTTCATTGATCGATGGAAGGTTTCTGGCAAATTGTTAACACAATATTAATAGGTTTTTTGGAATGATGCCATCTATAGTGCTTATAATATTTATTACTCACAGACCTAGTAGAATATTAAATCAAACTCTAAATTACTTTAATAACTTAAATTGAAAACTTAGTCTATTTTTAGCAGCCGTGAATACTTAGTTTGAATTCATTCGGTTATTTCGAAACAAATTTTTGTTTGTATATACGACATTTGATCTTCTGCTTCTCTCTAATTACACTTTTATGAACTGACTGAACTAAATTGAACTGTTATATGAACTTAAAACAACATATTCAACATTGTAATGGAATGATTTCATATTATAAGTGCTATTCTTTATATTTAAAATCGTCAAACTCCTAACAACAAATTCAATTTTTGCCTTGAAATATTTTTAAATAGATATTTTAAGTATTATGTGGGTATTTGTATATAAATCTAATTTACAGAATCTTTAAAAATTGTAACCCAATGTTGTCATGAAGAGCTCACTTATCAAACTACACGTTCAACTAGGCTTCATTGCAATCAAAAAATAATGGAGTGGTTTTTAAAGCATCTTTCATTTACTTTGTTTTGAAGTCACAAATAGACGTTTATCTGTCTACTGTCTAAAATAACAAAGTGGTTACCTTCACGTACTTATCGTTCATTGGATATTAAATTTAAACAATATACATGTTTTTTATAATCTGAGATCGTAATAGACTCGTATGAGATGGCCTGCCACTAACGCATCCAAGTGATTTACGACAAGACCCAGAAGCGTCTTTCACATGAAAATGATTGCTGGTAACTATTTATGACTACTGCCAAAATCTTCTTTCAAATGAGTATATACCTACATATGAAAGGTGATTGAAATATTTCCTGTCTATTTATGGGATACTTTCATTAAAATTATTATTATAAAAAAATGACATTAAGATTAATAAATGACTTCCCCACATTTCTTTTTTAATAGTTGTAATATTATAATATATTTTAATTTGATCATGATAACTTTTATATTTTGTTGGAGCACCAATCTATATAAAGTGAAATATTATTTGTAAAATAATAATGTATCTAACTGTTTTAAAATTGTGTCATATTTACTTCAAAGTCACTTTTTACTATATGTTATAAGCACTACCCTAATATGTAATAATATAATTAGAAGTTACTATAGTTTTTTTTTTGCTGTATTGAATTTAATTATTATTTTTTATTAAGTATTTTGTTTTAGATTGCATTTGAGTCTGTAGTTAAATATTTAAACAAATGTCGTACGTATGCTCAAATGATTAACATGACCTCTGATTCAAGTTCTAGGTTAAGTATTTTTGAAATGAAGCAAACATTTGTGTCGTATAAGTAACATTGTGAAGTGTACATATTCACTTGAAGGTAATTTCGATGTGTAAAAATAGACAATAATTAGTGCCAGTAGACGGAAAAGTTAGTACATATTTCATTTTGAAAGAGGCAGTTTGATATTTAAAGCAACTTTACAAACTATATATGTAAACAAGCCACTTGACACAACACAAAAATAATATAAATATTCATTATGTACTTTTAAACTTATTATGTATATATGTTTGTTTACATTACCTTACGTTTGTATGTAAAAATAATGAATTTTTAATTATTATATGAAGTATGACTTTGATTTCTGAGCACCAGAAATTTAGGTTTCAATTACAGGTTTTATGCTTACTAAATTATTTAAAACCAGCTGTCGCAATTAGTTATGTAAAGAGATTAAATTAAAAATTTAATTGTTTATAATTATTGTTATAAACTTTTTATATGCTATATCATATAGTATTAAATATTTTAAGATATACTACGATAAACAATAAATGGCTTTGTAGTAATTGTATAACGTGTTCACAGTTCACAGCACCTCCATTAATCAATTTGTTTATTAATATTGGCAAATACTTTAAATGACATTTATTGACAAGAAATACAATTTAAGATGAATCTTAAACATGAATATAATCCATTTATTTTACTGCACAATATTAAAAACGAGTTTTATTAAATGATTAAATATAGATATTATTAGTAAACAGTTGACAGCATCATCTGCTCTTAGACTCAAAGCTACCTCACATTGGAAGGCTAGTGAGTATGGACACGGCTCCATTCTTCATATTTTCAATCCTATTCTAAACAACATTAACTATTATAAACACCTAACATTCTCACTCACATGGTAGGCTTACTCACAGGTCACTATGTTTTAAGTAACCATACCAGAAGATTAAATCTCCCTGCTTTGGAAGATGAAACTGCCTGCTTTGTTTCTGTTCAGCACATGCACGGCCTTACCAGAGGTTCAAAGTAATTTTAAAGATCTGAGTTTATCTATATAGGGTTTATCTTGGAACCGCCGTTATAACCTAAACTAACATAAATTATCTGATATCACTAAATTTGAATGTTATAATTAATTCTACACATATGTTAATTAATTAAACTTTAATTAGCTTTACTTATTTAATGTTTCAATTTCTTTTTCATTAATTGTTTTAACAAATGCAGGGATGACTTACCTGATTAATTGTAATAAATCCTTTTCTTTCTCTGTTAACATGAACTCTGGTTTTGATGCCATTTCACAGAGCATCTTTGGCAGGCAGGAATCTTTGATGGCATCTGTGAGTTGTGATCTAACCAAGTTTCTTTTCTGTTGTAAGGCCGCCGCAGAAAATTCATTGATTTCTGTATCTAAAAGTAATAAACACTTAAATCAGTAAAGTATATTTATGTAATGTATTTGTAAAATTTAACACAGCAAGAAAACAATACTGTTAGAGCGGTTAAAGTCAAATTGTTAATATTGTAGGATTCTGTAGAATTATTAATTGATGTGTTATATGATTTATATATTATAATTTATTATATTTTAATCTATTGTAAATCATATTGTATAATTAAATTATTATAATTAATATATTATATAATTCATATATATATATAATATTTTATATGGTTAATATATGGTTAATTAATTTATCTAACTAACCCTGTATAAGATGTAATCAAACCAACGGTTCTAAGTCTTGTTTTATTGCCTTTTGTTTTTTGCGCTCGAGATGAGCAAATTTTATTGTTATATTTTTTGGCTGCAAGTAAACTCCGTTGGTTTGATTCTGTCTCTTGTTTTTCGATCGCGAACGTGTCAACACACGGGTACACATAAAAAAGTGATTAAACAATCAATAACCGAAATTGTATAAATTCAATTGTATAAATTAAATGAAATCAAAACTCAATTATAAAAACGTTTATAATTTACATTGTGTTAAAGAAATTGAAATAAAGATCATAAAACCCAATTATAAAAACGCTTATAATTTACATTGGCGACCGTGACAGGACTTTTTGCAATTTTAATAGTGGTTATTAATCTCCAATTTGTTAAAAAATCTAAATATTACCCACGTGTGGTAATCATTTTTTCTTATTAAGTTTGTAATCATTAGTGTACGCGTGTGTGCATTTCTTCCACACGGCTATTCTGTGGACTGTCGAACGTATATACTATTGTGCAATTGGTGGTTCTCGGTTTAGGTCCGCTAACCTCAAACCAGAACCTCGTGTCCGCATCAAGATCGCGCTCGACATTACAACAACAAGATACCTTTACTTGTTGATTGTACATACTTTCGCTTTTATTGTTTTTGGTTAATTTATAACCATTAAAGTGCGCGTGTGAATATTTTTTCTAACCAGCTATATAGCTAACGTGTGCTAACCATTATAATATATCGTACATCTATATATATATTACATATGTACTATCGTACGTATATACTCTTGTGCAATTGGTGGTTCTCGGCTTAGGTCCGCTAACCTCAAATCAGAACCTCGTGTCCGCATCAAGGTCGTGCTCGACATTTAAAATAACAACAACAAGATACCTTTACTTGTTGATTGTATATACTTTCGCTTTTATTGTTTTTGGTTAATTTGTAACCATTAATGTGCGCGTGTGAATACTTTTTCTAACCAGCTATATAGCTAACGTGTGCTAACCATTATAATATATCGTACATCTATATATATATTACATATGTACTATCGTACGTATATACTCTTGTGCAATTGGTGGTTCTCGGTTTAGGTCCGCTAACCTCAAAATAGAATCTCGTGTCCGCATCAAGGTCGTGCTCGACAGTTAAAATAACAACAACAAGATACCTTTACTTGTTGATTGTACATACTTTCGCTTTTATTGTTTTTGGGTTAATTTGTAACCATAATGTGCTCGTGTGAGTATTGCTCCTAAACGGTTATATATCTAAAGTGTGCTAACTTTAATAATATCGTACATCTGTACATATATACTATATACTATCGTACGTTTGTACTATTGTGCATTCTATGGTTCTCGGCTTAGGTTCTGCTAAGCGCCAAATAGAACCTCGTGTCCGCATCAAGGTCACACTGAACAATTACAACAACAACAACAAGTAAACTTACTTGTTGATTACTGGTTAATATTTGCTTCCAATCAGTAAGTGTGCGGGTTCGTCAACGTCGCGTCTGACAACAACCACCGTAAGAGCAGTTCAATTTCGGAAAGCTCACTGTTGCTATTGTGACTTTTCGACTTCGTTAAATCCTTTGCTGTTCTCAAGTATCTACAACTGTTTCAATGGCAACGGCAGAGCCAACCACTACGGCAGATCTGTCAGAACTAAAACAACAGCGAGCATATACGAAAGCGAGTATTTCAAGAATCAAGGCGTTCGTCAAAGGAAAGAGTAATTCGCTCTCACAACCAGAACTGAAATGTCGACTAGGTATTTTAGAATCATATTTTAAACAAATCTTAGCCTTTCAGACATTGATCGAGAAATTAGATGCAACTGACTCAGCTAGAGATGAATTAGAAGACCTATACGTTTCCACCAAAATATTAATCATGTCTCAACTGCAGGAAGAGGCCCACAATGCATCAGTTCTAGACGTAACAGCAATGATGCCCACCTCAAGTAAAAAATTACCACTGTTAAAATTACCTACATTCAGTGGTAAGTACTCGGATTATAACAATTTTATTAATTCGTTTCTCCAAATCATAGATCGCGAAATATACCTCACAAATATTGAAAAATTTAATCACTTGCTGAACTGCCTTACTGGTCAAGCTCTAGAGACAGTACAGGCATTTCCTATTTCGAATGAAAACTATCCAAAGGCTCTGGATAGGCTTAAATCGCGCTATGACAATAATAGCCTAATCTTCGCCGAAAATATTGCGACACTATTTGATCTACCAGCAGTATCGGGTCAGTCAAGCCAACAACTTCGTAGTCTGGTAAACAATGCATCCGCTTTGTATGGTTCACTCTGTTCGCTAGGTACAGAGAAACAAATATGTGAGGCTCTACTTATCTCGCTAATCATGCAAAAAACGGACGCAATTACACGTAGGAAATGGAATGAATCGCGTAACTTCGACACATTACCCAGTTGGGAAGATTGCTCAAAATTATTGGATAGGCATTGCCAGTTTCTCGAATCACTCGACAGTGGAAACGGCAATCAGTCATCATCACAACGTAAACCTAATAATCTTAACTCCAAGAGTAACAGACGCTCAAAACAATACGCATTTGTTGCATCTACATCCAGCAATTCTTGCTCATTTTGTTCTAGCAATGAACACCTAATACAGAATTGTCATCGTTTTAAGGCACTGGAGGTGGTTCAAAGGTTTGAAAAGGTAAAGAGCCTAAAACTCTGCATAAACTGCTTATCGCCACGCCATCATGTGGTTAATTGCACATCAACGTTTAAATGTAAGGTTTGCGCAAAGCCACATCACACTCTCTTGCATCATTCGCAATTGCCAACGAATATTAAGAGCGCGGGATCATCACGACGCACAGAACACGCTGCTATGCCCAACGACAACGTTGCCAGCCATTCCCATCTTAATATGTCATCGGCCGAGCAAATAATTCTAGCCACTGCATTGGTTTTAGTGAAGGATTCATCGGGAAGTTATCAAGTGGGTAGAGCCTTACTTGATTCATGCTCTCAGGTCAACTTCATAACGGAGGAGTTTTCAAAGAAGCTTAGTTTAGCAAAACATAAACATCGGTTGCATGTTTCCAGTATTGGTAGTTCGTTGACCAACATAAAGTATCAGACGCTCACATCAATCAAATCTCGTCATTCAAATCTTGAACTTGCTTTAAACTTTGGTATTATGAATCACATCGCATATCAACCAAGTTCTGAAATCGATATATCGTCGTGGAAGGTTCCACCAAATACACCTCTCGCCGATGAGCAATTCTTTAAATCCAAGCGCGTTGATCTCTTGCTTGGAGCTGAAAGTTTCTTTGATATTTTGTCTGTCGGTCAAATCAAACTAGGTGAAAATCTTCCAGTACTTCAAAAAACACTATTAGGATGGATTGTATCTGGCAAGTACAAGGGTCAGCCATTTGCATCACCAGCAGCAAAATGCCTATTATCAGTTGAAGATACAGTCTCCGATCAATTAGAAATGATGTGGAAGATAGAGGAAGTGCAACCGGCTTCAAAGTCATGGTCACCAGCACATG